AAAAAAAAAAAAAAAAATATATATATATAAGAAAATGTGACATAGCAGGACATGCTAAGTGTGTAACTTTTACACTAAAACTATCCACTACTGGAATCTCATGTCCTGATTCAATTCTTATAAAAAAAAATTAATTGGGATCTGTTGATTTGACTATGAAAGGAATAAACTGGCTAGGAGACTTGGAGTGTCTGTTTTCCCTAATGATTATATTCATTATCAAAACTGACATCAATGCCTTGTAACCTATTTAGCATATCTCAGTCTCTCTCAGCCTAATTTACCCTGAGACACTGTAAGAAAATTCAGACTAGCTTGGAAATTAAGTAACAAAGCATAGATACCATGACAGACAATAATTATAAGAGCCAACCTGAGCAAGCTGGGATTCTCAACAGATGAGTCTGTTACTTGTATTAACAGCCATCATATTTTTCTCATACCAGCACTTAATGTATTATCTGTTCTGACATTCGGAATGTGCAAGGTAGAAATACCAATCTATAATTTAAAATTGAATAAATAATACCTACATGCTAGGAAATAATTCCTTTCAACTATTTTTATTTTGCTAATCCTTTCTAAGGATTCTGGAAAAAGTTGTAAAAAAAAAAATCCAAACATTAGCTATTTTTTAACATGACTGCAAATATGTACCATCAAATAAAATGCAACCATTTACAGTTCTAATACATAAATATGATACCAGGAATGAAAGAAGGTGGGAAAAGTAAGTCATGTCTTTAGTTCATGGCAGAAAAAGTGAATGCAAGCTTTCTAACAGGAAGAAAATAAAACATTCTCTAAATAGAAACCGTTCCTTTACTATCCCACACTCACCCAGCTTCTGAATTCTGTCTGCCTAATGTTACCATTCATCTGCTACAGAAAGTGAAACCAGTGTGTGATGGCTAATACTGTCAACTTGACTAGATATAGAATTACCTAGGGACAAATCGCTGGCAAGGAGTTTCTAGGCTGGGTTGGGGTATGAAAACACACCCTAAATGTGGACAGCACATTCCATGGGCTGGGGTCCTGGACTAAATAAAAAGAAGGTAAACTGAGCCCAGCATTCACCTCTCCCTGCTTCCTGACTATGGACACATGAGACCAGCTGCCTCCAGCTCCTGCCACTGTGGCACCCCTGCAAGACTGACCTGCTCCCTTTAGGCTGTCAGCTAAAATAGATCCTTGTGGAAGTTGCCTTTGTCTAGCACTTTGTCACAGCAGTGAGAAAAGTACCTAACACAGTGCACAAACAATTAACAAGACTGTTTTTCTGCTACAATAAGTAAATGCCTATTTGTGCTCCAATTTTGAAAACAGAACTTATCCATAACTTATTTACCTGATGGCATAAACTCACTTGACAAGGCCTGAGTCAACTTCAATCCTATTCTATCTCACAAGTTAACCCAGCTCCTGGCTGGTGAATTGTACTTATAAACTAAAATAGAAGGTTGTCAACATAAGCAAGAAGATATGAGTTATATTTGCAGGACTTCCGTTAACATGTCTCTTTTATTTTTCACTCCACCAAATCAAGATACAACATTTTAATTTTCAGTAATGTACTTACACATTCCGGCAAGATATGGGCTTGAGAAAACCAACTTCATTTCCAGTAAAATGTGTTTCATTACCGCTGTAATCCTTACAAATTATGTTGGGTGCTGGAAAACACTGAACTAAAAACAGAAAAAGTGAATTTTTTTCCCCAAGATTGGCAAAGTACAAAATAACCTATAACATTATAACAAACTACCTCCCGTTGTAACATGTGACAGAAGTCTTTAATTTAGACTGAAAGTTAAAGAATTGTATTATATCTATTAAATGCACTTATATGGGAGATAAATGATAGCGGTCTCTTCATACAATAATACAAATATCGCCATACTGTTTTAGATGTGTGCATGGCCCATCTAGTTCAGTTTCTTGCCTCTGATGACAAAGAAAGAACTGTAAAATATTACTGGGTTTTTTTTTTTAACTTCACACCTAAGATAAATACTTGAATTTTTATTTATTTATTTATTTTTGGGTAATTATCAAGCCACTGTAAAATAATCTATGGCTTATCTCTCCAGCTTATATTAATTATTTGTGATGACTAATCTTGACTGACAATTGGATGGGGATATAACCACCATAGAAACAAACCTCTGTGCGTATCTGAGGAATTCTATGAATTAAGGCTAACGTCATTAGGAAAGACCCATCCTAAATGTGGGCAATACCATTCCTTAGGCTGGGACTGTAGATTAAAATACAAAGGGAAAAGTGAACTGATACCAGCATTCATTGCTGCTTCCTCACTACGGACATAACGCAATCCGCTGCCTCCTGCTCCTGCCATCAGAGCATTCCTGCCACCGTGGACTGTGGCTCCTGACACTGGGAGGAAAAACCACCCCTTCCTTTATCTATTTTTATCAGGTATTTTGACACAGCAACAAGGCAAGAAACTGAGGATACTACCGTACCACTGACAACAGCATCCATAAATATATTTCTATCTTGACTCCGTCTAGGTCTTGGTATAATGTTATTTCAGCATTTAGCAATATCAAGCCACACTCACAACCCAAGACATAATATAAACAAATAGTACAGATGTTACTTTGTGGACAGGCAAACACTGTCCTAAAACTTTTACAGCCTCACGGTATACAGAAGAATTTTGAAGTAAGGATGACCTTATGTGGGTTATTTTTGTCTCTTTCAGCTCTTGGATTCCCTGCAGGTAAAAATAACACTAAGATCACCTACATCATAGGACCATTGTGGTTAAATACATAAAACTATGTGCCATAAAGTATATAGCCTATAGTAGGTACTCGATACATTTGTTTGTTTATTTGAGACCAGATCTCATGAAGCTCAGACTAGCCTTAAACTACTTGTATGTGGCCAAGTTTACCTTGAAGTCCTTCATTTCCCCACTTCCCAGTCCCAAGAGCTGGGATTAAAGACATGTGATACCATGCCTAGCTTAAGAAACATTTTCTTCTTCTTCAACATCTGTGTGCATGTGTATTTGTTACTAAGGATTGCATTTGGGACCTAATGCATGCAGGCATGCACTCAACTTAAAAATGGGACCTTATTTAGAAATAAGCTCTTGGCAGATTTAAGATAACATTATTAGAGTAGGTACTAACCTTTTATATAAAAAAGGAAAATGGCCAAGCATAGTGGCACACATCTTTAATCCCAGCACTGGTGAGGCAGAGGCAGGTGGATCTCTCTGAGTTCAAGACCAGTCTAGACTACATGGTGAGGTCTAGGCTAGGCAAGGCTACATAGTAAGATCCTGTCTCAAAAACATAACAAAACAAGAAAAAAAAAAAACTGGACACATGTAGGGAGGATGTGAAGGTACACAGGGAAAATGCTGTGTGAAGATGGAGGCAAAGGTTGTGTTGATGCAATTGCTAGACAAGGAATAACAAGAATCACTGGCTGACTTAGGGCTCCTGTTGCTGTGAAGAGACACATGACCATGGCAACTCTTATAAAGGAAAACATTTAACTGGGGTGGTTCGCATACAGTTCAGAGGTTCAGTCCATTATCACCATGAAGGCAGACATGGTGCTTGCAGACAACAGAAGTGGTCTGTCTTACTGGGTGTGAGTTGAGCATATATGAGACTTCAAAGCCCGCCTCCACAGTGACACATTCCTCCAACAAGACCACACCCACTCCAACAAGGCCACACCTCCTAATAGTGCCAATTCCTTTGGGAGGCATTTTCTTTCAAACTACCAGAGTGGCTACCATCAGAAATATGGAAGGAGGAAAAGGACAGGATTGTGCTCTAAAGCCTGAGAGGAACAGGGCTCTGTAAATACTCTGATTTCAATGTCAGATTCCGAGCCTCACGAGCCCACATAAAGATGGAAGGTTAGAACCAATGCTACAAAACTGCCCTATGACCTCCACATATGTACACACCTGCACTTACACATCCATTGTCTACTGTGATGAAACACCATGACCAAAGCAACTTGGGGAGGAAAGGGTTTACTTCAGGTTACAGTTCCACAGCACAGTCTACCACTGAGGGAAGTCAGGGCAGGAACTCAAGCAGGGCAGCAACCTGGAGGGAGAAAATGGTGCAGAAACCATGGAGGAGTGCTGCTTACTGTTGTTCCTAGTGGCTTGCTTACTCTGCATGGCCCATAGAGAACTGGGCCTTCCCATATCCATCACCAATCAAGAAAATCTACCACAGGCCAGTCTGGTGGGGGCATTTTCTCAACTGAGATTCCCTCTTCTAAAATGACTCTAGCTTATGTCAAATATTCAGTCTCTAAAATAACCATAGTCTATCTAAAATACCCCAAATATCTCAACTATAAGTCCCTGTAAAATCAAACGTAAGTTACTTTTACTCCAAGAGGGAAGAATCAGGGCACAGTCACAATCAAATCTAAGCAAAAGCAAAGTCCAACAGTTTACTGTAAAGCTCAATGTCAGACTTCTGATAGGCCCCAAGGGGTGGGGCCTGGTGGAGGCCATAGATCACTAGGCATGGTTTTGACTATCCTCCTTTCCAGTCTGTCCTTTCTTTGCTTCCTGGCTGCCAAAATATGAGCAATTTCCCTCTAGCAAGCCTTTCCATCATAGGGTTTCAGTCTTACCACAAACCTAAAACCAATGAAGTCAGCTAGGCATGGACTTCGGAAACCGTGAGCCAAAAGTAAACCTTTCTTCCTTTCAATTTGTTATCTCAGGTTTTTTTTTTTTTTTTTTTTTTTTTTTTTAAATTACAGTAACAGAAAACTCACACATGTGGGAAACATTTCCTTATTATACAGCCTTGTTAGCTCTGTCTGAGACTATCTAAAATCAGGTCTTCAAGAGACAAAACAGTACTTTTTTATTCTAATTATGATTCTTTTCTCTCTTTTCTGTTTTTTTTTTTTTTTTGTTTTTTGTTTTTTGTTTTTTTTTAAAGACAGGGTTTCTCTGTGTAGCCCTGGGTGTCTTGGAAATTTGCTCTGTGGACCAGGCTGGCTCAAACTCAAAAACCCACCTGCCTCTGCCTCTGGAGTGCTGGAGGTAGGCTGTGAGGTTTCAAAATCCCCTACTGGATCCAGTTCACTCTTTCTGCTGCCGATCACACTGTAGAACTTTCAGCTTCTTCTCCTGCACCATGTCTGCCTGTGTGCCGCCATGCTCCCTGCCATGATGGCAATGGACTAAGCCTCTGAAACTGTAAGCCAGTCCCAATTAAATGTTTTCTAAACAAGAGTCGCCATGGTCATGGTGTCCCCTCGCAGCAACAGAACAGTGACTAAGACCGGAAGCAGTCTATTAAATCCCACCTAGCTTTACACATATTTAGAATGAGAGAGGCTCCCCTCAGTCATTGGAATAAGGTATTATCCACTATCCAAACACTTCTTTGATATATTTTGATAAGTGATACAGCTATAAAATCTTTACCATACTGTTTTTCTATGTAGGATATACTAAAGTCCACGTTTCAAGTGTACTATGGGTAGTACAGTTCTGTGTAATGTACTGAACAGCTTCCTGCCCCCTGTAACTCTCTCTCTCACTATAGAACCCAGGCTGGTATCATATTCGCTATATAGACCACAATGGTCTCAAGATCATAATCACCCTCCCTGGTGCTGGGGTTACAGGTGTGTACTGCCATATACAGCTTCAAATTCTTTTCCAGTAATTAAAAACACGTGTCCAAGGGTGGGCAGACAGCTCAGTGAGTAAGCACACTTGCTGCCAACCTGTCACCCTGAACCTGATACCTGAGAACAGGGTAAAAGGTCAGAACTGACTACTGCAAGGTCTCCTGACCGCTACATATGTGTATTGCATATTCCCAGCACCTACATCCACTGGTAACTAATTCTAGGGGATCCAATACTCTCTTTTGACTTCTACAGCCTCCTGCATGCACACAGTACATATACATATACTCAGACACATACACATGAAATTTTTCAAAAATTTTAAATAAGAAAATGAAACATATAAAAGTCCTAACTAGCTAGGCACCTGTGGTACTCTGAATAACAATGCCTCCCCATAGGCTCATATATTTAAATGCTTAGTCATGAGCGAGTGACACTATTTGAAAGGATTACATGTGGTCTTGTTGGAAGAAGTATCACTACGGGTGGGATTGAAGGTTTCAAAAGCCCAGGCTAGACCCAAAGTCTTGCTCTCTGCCTGTGGATCTGGATGAAGCTCTCTGCTACTGCTCTAATGCCATGTACTCTGCCATGCTCCTTGCCATGAGGATAATGGACTCAAGCTCTGAAACTGTAAGCAGGCCCCAGTAAGAGTTGCCTTGGCCATGGTGTCGCTTCACAGCGATAGAAGAGCGACTATGACAGCAAACCTTTGGTAGCATACAGCAGTGCACACCTTTAATGCCAGCACTGGGGAGGCAGAGGCAGGAAGATCTCTGTGAGTCTGAGGCTTCACAGTGAGACCTTGTCTTTAAAAGATACAATTAAACAACAACAACAAAACCCCAACTAAAGAATTATATTTCTGTAACAAAGCTTGGGAAGTAAAAGACTAGAACTATTTAAAGAGTTAAGTGTAACACACACACACACACACACACACACACACACACACACCTCAAAACATTTCATCATACAATACATACAATAGTTATGTATTCATATATCAGTTAAAGATAAACTTAAATAAAAATTAAAACACATGAGCTCTATAAGGAGATTCTAAAGTTTTAAAATAAGTATAAAATAATAGAAAACATCCCAGTTTATATCATTTAGAAGAATTGCTTTTTAACTTGAAAGAGTGGCACTGGGTACAACACTGGAAGAGCATGCAAGGACCCCTGGGTTCAAGCCCAAGCACCAAAGTTAATTAGTTAATTAACCAATCAATTAATTGAATGTTCACCATTTTTAATCAGTTTCCAAATCTAAACTGTTCTGAAAACTGAACAATCACGTCTAACACAACATAAAACACATTTATTAATTACCCTTAGGCATTATTCATTGCTCCTTGAAATAGGTAAAAAATCTTACAAAGCACTTTAAAGACGAGATTCTGAAAATCTTACCATGAGCTGTGTAGTTTGTACAGTTTACTGGTTCTTGAGTAGCATCATTTATTTTTGGTTCTTTACAAATATATGTTGAAAAAGTTAAGGAAATCTGAATTACATTTCTAGCATATAATACTATGTTTTAAATGTCTTTATAACTCCTGTCGATTCACATGTATAGAGAGACTTTGAGTTTGTACTAGTCAACAAATTCAGATACAAACTCACTTTCAAACCTAGCGTGGTGGTGCATGCCTTTAATCCCAGCATTTGGGAGGCAAAGGCATGAGGATCTCTGTGAGCTCAAGGACAGCCAGGGTTATGGAGAGAAACCTTGTTTCAAAACAAAACAAAACAAACCTAAATATACTTTCAGTGTTGCTTAGATAGTTCAAATTTAAATTATTATAAAAAAAAGTCACATAAAACAAATTTGATCAAAAGCTCTAGCAGATGATGTCAAAGAACATCAATTAGAGAATACACAAAGAAACAATCAAATTAAGTATCTTGCCCCAAGGTGGGGGCTCATGGAAAGCAGAGGCAGGTGGATCCCTGTAAGTTCCAGGATAGCAAGGGATATACATGAAAACCCTGTCTTGAAAAACCAAAATAAATAAATAAATAAATAGAAATCTTTACCAAATTATTTTAAGTTTAAAAAAAAAAATCAGTTTCCAGAGTTCTGGATTCAACTAATTCACACTGAATTTCATATAACACAAAGAGGCGAAGAAGATACCCTTTATTATTCCCATGCCACAAAAGCATAGCTGAGGTTCAAACTTTGAGTGCCTTATCCAGTCATGTAAATGATCGGCAGCAAAACCAGGTATCGTGATTCTAAGCCTGGGGCACTTTGTATCCGACTGCAGGAAGTTGGCTGTTTTCTGTGTGGTCTGTGACTTCAGTAGGATTTTAAGTTTCTGAAAACCCCTCTAAATAGATACTAAAACAATAAGAATGTTTTTTTTTTAAGTTTTATTGTCTAAAGATTTTATGATTCACACTCCAATGGAGTAAGTATGGTACATACAAGATGTCTAGTCACAGCTTGACCCTTATTTCGGACTTCGAAATCACTACTGGAAATTTCATCCCTTAGTTAGGTCATTAAGACAAGGTGCAGTATTCACCATCTCAGAGTTCTACAGGCACAGTCCCTTCTTACCAGGCTTCAACAGTTCATAATTAGCTCAGTTACTTCTTAGAAGAACACTCATGTTTCTCCTAAGACAATGCTAAACTCAGTATGTCAGAAACTCCACTCATGTTGGGATTACCAAATTATGAGGTAGTCTGTGAAAATCTAACAGATGCCTCTCCTCAATTCGTATACAGATGTTACAGAGTTTTCTTAATTTTAACATTTTTCTTATTCTTTCTTGCTTCTGCAGGTTTGAGTGTCTGTATACAAATGTTTGCGGAATTGTGTCAGTACTTAAAGTTTTGTTCATTCACAGTGATTTGAGTGTAACACATTTCATCTTGTTTTTCTATTTCAATTCTGTTGTAATAAGACAATTCACCTAATCCTAATTCAGATTTGTCATCTGTAAATAACAACACAAATGTTGTACTAATATAATTAAATATTAATATAAATGCCCTTTAAGTTGGGTGTCACTGACACTAGATGTTTTATTCATAAGAAAATAGACATAATTTGCTCATTTAAGAGCCCCCATCCCTGAAAAGCTACTGCCAGTTGATGGCTTTTAAGTTAGCCATAGTTTTAAGGGTGTGGTCCCAGGTAAGCCAATCAGGCTTCAGTGGAGAGCCCCACCCCTCTGAGGATGTGAACTGCAGAAATCTGACTCTCTAGGTTTTGGTAGGATTTTTTGTTTGTTTGTTTGTTTTTTGGTTTGTTTTTTTTGGGGGGGGGGAGTTAAGAGGGAGTGAGAAGGTCAAAGCCTATCTGGAAGGAGTTAGGGGTTGAAAAGTCGCTGTGAAATCCATTAGATAAAACTCTCACAAAGTATTAGCACAAATATTACATTGAAAAATATCTAAGAGGATCTCTTATTTTAAGATCACAAAGTGAAGCCGTCAATTGCCTGGCAGTCCATCTGAGGCTGGCTGGAGGTGATGTATGTAACGTTAATGACAAACGAGAAATATGCACTGGCTCACGAGTCATACTCATCTTCCTCAACGCCTGCAAACTTTGAGGGGAGCGTCTATCCATTTTTGCATTTCTAGAATCTGGACAAAGCCTGTGATTGTGTGTGTTTGAATAAGCGAGCGCACCGGTTAACAACACACGGGTCCGTCAGGAAAAAAAAAAAGGAAGTGCCAACCACTGGGCGGCCCAGGGTGAGAGCACTCGGTGCTCGGCCCTCGGTCCCCACAGCCCTCCTCACCTCCCGGGGTCCACCGGTCACTAAAGCCGCCGCAGAGGCCCCGGCGCCCATCCCACCGTGCCCATCCCACCGCCCCGGTCCTGCCGAGCGCTTTCCGGAGGATATTGTCCCACTCTGAGGTCCTCACACTTGGGCGTCTCCTCGCTGCCGACGGCGCCAGAGGCAGCAGCCCCCCAATGTCCCGCGGCGACCGTCACGAGCCACAGAGTGCGGAGGAGGCCCGGAGGCCCCGCCGCTGGGGAAGCCCGACCCGCGGGCCAGGCGGCCGCCATGTTGGGCTCCGCGTCCTCGCGCTTCCGGTTCCGCCTCCGAGACGAGGACCGGCCTTAAAGGGGCCTGGCTCCAATAGGGAGGGCCGCTTGGGTCTTTGGAAGCCTGCTCCCTGGGGTAAACTGGCACAATCACATAGTCGAGATTTTTTTTTTTTTTTTAAATATGTTTTCTTGTCATACGCAGGGGCCATGCTAATTTGTGTATCGTTCCAATTTCAGTGTATGTACTGCCAAAGCAAACATGGGAATTTAAAATGTATATATATCAGGTCAGGGAGGTAGCTCAGTGGGTAAAGGCGCTTGTTCCTAAACCTGACATTCTAAATTCAGTTCCTAGGACCCACAAGGTGAAAGGAGCAAACTGACTCCCACTACTTGTCCTCTGACCTCCACGTGTGCTGTGGCACACACACACATAAAATAAATGAAATGAATATAATAAATACACAATTGGGGGTCTTCTCAGATAGAATTCCCTGAGAACCCTCACAAGGAGATAGTAATGGTTCCTTGTGATGAGCCACAACTGGCATTTTAGCACTGGGAGAAGGACCCAGAGTTCACCCAGGCGCTGTCCCAGCTCCTGGTGGGCACCACCGTTGATCCTAGAGGCCCCAAAGAATGAAGGTTTCCCTATGGTTAGGAGAATTTGGATGTACTTTGTCTAGAACTGCGGAAAACACATTCATCTTTGACCAAAGTACAATTACAATAGATGCTATACACATTATACAGTGTAACAAGATAAATGACTGGTTTTCAATGACTATATAAAATACAAGGCTAAGCATCGGAGTATCAGCAGGCAGTGGTGCCGTACACCTTTAATCCCAGCTCTCAGGAGGCAGAGGCAGGCAGATCTCTGTGATTTTGAGGGCAGCCTGGTCTACAGAGTGAGCTTCAGGGCAGCCAAACCTACATAGAGAAACCCTGACTCAAACAACAACAACAACAACATCAGACTATCAGGGTTGGAGAGATGGCTCAGGAGTTGAGAGTACTTGCTGTTCTTATAGAGGGGGGGTTTAGGTTTCCAGCACCCACGTGGTGGCTAAAGACCTCCTGTAATTCCAGCTCCAGGGCATCCAAGGCCCCCTCTGGCCTCCTTAAACACTGGGCTCAGTGGGTAAAGACCCTTGTTGCCATACCTGACAAGCTAAATTCAATCCCTGGGACCCACATGGTGGAAGTAGCAGACAAACGCTCATACACATAAAATACAAATAAATCTTAAAAAATATCAGAATATCAGTTACACATCTTACAAGATGATAAAAGCAACTTCCTTTTTAACTATTACTTGGATTTGGAATGCTCTAGTTGATTTTTAGGATACAACACAAAGAAAACCAAAGGACTAAAGGAAGCAGTTTTGTGCTCAGGTTTATTGAAATTATGACAAAATTAGATGGTTTCCTGCTGAGTGCAAAAATACTGCTGATCTGTGTATCTATTTTAAGTAGAGATTTAAAACAATTACTTAGAACTGCTGATACTTTGCTGATTAATCCCATTACAGAATCCATTTTTATGGCTTTAACGATTATCTTTATTCTCTTCTACAATATGTAAATGTAAAAGAATTGAAAAGGTTCTATAGACAGCGATGCCACTCTGAAACGTTTGACTCTTGAGCTGGGAAGGTGGTGGAGTCGCCTAGCATGCCCAGCTCCCTGGACTTGGTCTCCAGCATCACTTGGACAGAACATTGACTGTTGAATTGATGATGTACTAGAGTATTGATGATGTATCACTTCTTTGCAATAGCCCCTTAATCTGTTATTTCTCTGAAAATAAATAACTTCTCTTTTTGTAGTCTAATGATCATATGAATTACCATGATCACATGACTGCTACATTACTGAAATTTGATAAGAACTTAAATCTCAATATTTTTATACCAAGTTTCTTTGTCATAGAAAGTGCCATAGAAACTCTGCAGACTTCAACTGAAAGCAAAGGACATGCATAGCAGTCTCACTATGTATCCTAGCTGGCCTAGAACTCACTATATAAACCAGGCTGGCATGGAACTCAGAGAGATCTGCTTGCCTCTGCCTCATGAATGCTAGGATAAAATATATATACTACCACGCCCAGCTACGTTGATACCTAATTTCATATAAATATATCTTAATTTCATTAAAAATTAGTTTTGTACAAATATCTGAGAAAATAACTCAACACTATCTCTATTGTTATAACAGTACATGAGATAGAAGATTGTTACTCAAATCTTATTTGACTATACATAACATGAAACTTTCCTCTAGTAATAACATCAGGAATCTTTTATATCCTTCATACATACTTCTGTACATGATTTTATTCTATAATCCTGCTTCTGCTTCACACCTATTATTGTATACCTTGTTGGAGTAACCTAACTACATGGGCTCCAATTATCCAGTTCAACTAAACTGGCTCACCATTTAAGGCCTGTTCACAACTGGGAGATGGCTTTTGGTTAAGTGTTCATCTCAAGGGAAGAGAGGGGGATCTATGGTTGGTATGTAAAATTAATTAAAAATTTTCTTAATTAGAAAAAAGGTGTTCTTCTCAAAAGTTCAAGGGCCTGAGTTTTGATCCCCCAAAGCCATGAAAACAAGCACACACCCGGGGTATAGTAACCTCAGACCTCTGCAACAGCACAAGTACTCTTAACCACTGAACCATCTTTTCAGCTTCACGACCCACTCTTGTACGCCAAATATATTTCAACTTAAATGCCACAGGGAAGATCTAAAACTCATTTTAGCAGAGTCCTTCTCATAAAAAAAAAAATAAGCCATCTCTTCTACATTTCACTGCCAACATCTCTTCCTATGAGATTCAAAACTTGGAATCAGGGTTCTGGGGAGATGGCTCAGCCAGTAAAATGCTTGCCCTACAAGCATGAGGATCTGAATTTTAGGTTCCTAGCACCTCATAAAAAGCTGGACAAAGAAATGTACATTGTAATCCTTGTGCATGGAGAGGTAGAGAGAGGTGGGTCCCTGGGGTTTCTTAGCCAGTTAGTTTAGCTAAATCTGTAAGCTTCGGTTTAAGTGAAAGAACTGGCCTCAAGAATGAAGTATAGAAGTAATAAAGGAATACACCTGACACTCACCTCTGGCTTCCACTTTGTACATCTGTATATTCACCACATCTATACATATAAAATTTGGGAACAGTTTTCAATTTTCTTCATGTTTTGCAATATCTTCATCATTATAGTCATTAAGCAACTAATACCATTGTTTGTGGGTTTTTTTGGGGGAAGGCAAAGGGGTAAAATAGGATCTTGCTATATAGTCATGCTGGCCTCGAACTTAATAGCAGGATTCTCTTGTCTGTCTCCTGGTGAGGGAACCACCACTCCTGGCTATTCTTTTTTCAATACTGTATTTTTTTTTTTTCTCTCTCTCTCTCTCTCTCTCTCTCTCTCTCTCTCTCTCTCTCTCTCTCTCTCTCTCTTCTCTCTCTCTCAGACAGGATTTCACTGTGTAGCCCTGGCTGTCCTGGAACTAGTTCCATAGACCAGGCTGGCCTCAAACTCACAGATATCCACCTGCCTCTGCCTCCTGAGTGCTGGGATTAAAGATATGCTCCACCACCACCTGGCTGTCAAACCTCTATTTTTACCCTATTCAAGTTTTCTTTGTTCCCTATATTCTTTGCTACAGTGACCACTTTTGTTTTATAATAGCCCCCCTCTCTCCCAGGTCTTCAATTCATTTGCACACAATATCTAGACACATCTCTCATTTAGAAAAAAGTCTCTACCATATTTAAAATTTCTAATCATTTTACATAAGTAGGTGTCTTGACTGCATGTATGTCTGTGCATCATGTGTGTGCCTGGTGCCCAAGAAGAAGAGAGAGCATCAAATCCCCCGGAACTGGAGATTGTGTTTTGAGGCACCATGTGGGTGCTGGGAATTGAACTCGGGTCCTCTGGAAGAGCAGCCAGTGCTTTTTACCCTTGAACCATCTCTCCAGCCCCTGTGGTGGCTTTGCAATTAGACCCCCAAATGCAAAGACAACAAAACAAAGCCAAACAAAAAAAATAGACAAATTGAAATTTTATCACAGAAATTTGTGCATATCAAAGAAACAACTAAGGCCCGAAGAGATGGTTCAGCAGTCAAGAGCACTGGCTGCTCTTCCAGAGGACCTGGGTTCAGTTCCCAGCAACCCAGTGGTAGCTCAGAACCGCCTATAACTCCTCCTGTCTCAGCCACCTAAGTCCTTAGAATTCACAGGTCTCTTAGGGTTATTATTGCTACCAGTTTGAGGTACAACCTTGGCCACCTCTGAAACACAGCTTCTGTGTGCTGACTCTCAGGAAAATACTTCCCAGAAGATTTCACCTTAATAGTGCTGGACTTTTTTCTTTTCTTTTTAATTAAGTTTTATTTTATGTGCATTGGTGTTTTACCTGCCTATATGTCTGTGTGAGGTGTAAAGACCCACAGAGGTTTCCTAGTGAGAACTTACTCAGGGTCTGAGAATCTGAGCTTGAGTTACCCAGCAGGGCTGCATAAGGGGGTAATTTGCCCCTGGGCATGGTTACCAGGTGTTTGGAAGGGTCTGTACTTGGCTGTGCAATATGCTTTGATCTAGCAAGGGGGAGGTCTTTTGCCCTACCCCTTAGCATTGTTATTAAAAGCCTTTTTGAAGAGACAGAAGGGGCCGGTGGATTTTGATTCGGGTCCTCCCGAAGCTATCCTGTGTTTCTGTCTTTCTCCTCTCCACTGTCTATCTAAAAATTTATTATTCCTCTCTCCTCCTCATAGGAACCCTTTAAAAGGTGGGAGCTGGCCTCCCACACTGAGGTTGTTTGATCTTGGAGATATGGACAGCTGTTAGTTGTCATGTGGGTGCTGGTAGTTGAACCTAAGTCCTCTGGACAAGCGAGCAGTCAGTACTCTTAACCAATGAGCTATCTGTCAAGTCCCCTGCGGGTCCCTTCTTAATCACTGCAAATTTCTCAGTTCCAGTCGACCAGCATCCAGTATCCAAGCAAAGCAAAGGTTTCACTTTTAGTAGTT